CAGTCGCTGATTCAGAAGTGCCAGATTGTCATTGCAAAGTCAGAATTGACCCTTTTTTTTTAGAAATAGCGTTTGTGCACAGCCAGCCTTGTACTCTTCTAGGTTCAAAAAACTGTTGTCCATAAAATGTGTTGCACAAATTCGAACATCTGGGTTGTGCTGTTCTGTTGTAAATAAATCTTAAACAAAGATTCCTAATTGCATCTACTTCCGGAAGGCCAAATAAAGTGCTTTTGCTTTCGCACTGAAATACACAGCGTCTCCCTGACATGGCTGCATCAACACTACTGCTGTTCCTGAAACCACGCCTTCTTTCTTTGCGTGCACATTTGGGCGGCATTATGCTAATATTTCCACATAGTGACGTAGATATGTGGGGGCGTGTCGAGCCGTTTTAGGTAGGCGTGGCTGACTCTTAACTTTTATAAAGAATATCTCTTTTGATTTGAGACTTTAGTCTTTGCAACTTTACAGATCTTATTTATGGACCAAGAGCTTGTAACACTCCAAAGAGAAAGGAAAACTTGAAATCGCATCATATGACCCCTTTAATATTATCAATGATGAAAACTTTTTTCCTGCATTTTCTGCATGTTTTTTCTGCATCATGCGACACTGAAAACTGGAGCAATGGCTGCAGAAAATTCAGCTTTGCATCACAGAAATAAATTACATTTTAAAATATATTAAAATAGAGAACAGTTATTTTAAACTGTAATAATATTTCACAGGATTATCGTTTTTACAGTAGTTTTGATTAAATCTATGCAGCCTTGATAAGCATGAGAGACTTCTTTCAAAAACATTACAAAATCTTAATTATTCCAAACTTGTGACTGGTAGTGTAAAATTATAAAAACTCATTCTGCATTAAAACTGATCATATTCTCTTCCAAAGCCACTCTGATTTCAGCAAGAGAGAAGTTTGTGTTTGTAAAGCGCCCTGGTTTTGAACTGTCCCGTAGTTTTTAATGATGCGTCTCTGTCAGTTCTGTGTTTGCTCATGTGCTTGGCAGACGTTCACAAGCTGTTGTGTTTGTTTTTGTTCTGCCGTTTTTCCCGCCACTTTTATTATGTCAGGTGCATTGAGCCAGAAGCATGTCCCTGTTCGCAGATTACTGGAATTTTGAGAGCTGAAGAATTACTCTGTTGTACTTGTAGAGAAGAGTTTTGATTAGCTTGTAGCTGCATGTTGGCTGCAAAATCATTACAATGACCAACATGGCACTGAAAGCTTCAGCACAGTTTGTTTGCCCTTGAATTATGTGGTGAGGATTGTGTGTGTATTTTGGTGGACATTTAAATGTTTGTCTGGGAATTTGTATGTATTTTTGTGTGAGTGCGTGCGTATGTCCACATGCATGCCAATCCCGTCTCACGGACACACTCTCCTTTTGCCTGCTGGGATTGATGCACAGGCCCACACCCTCACATACACACGATTCTCTCCTCTCCTCTTCTCCTGTCGTGTGTTGATGAGATACGGTGATTTCTCTTAGGGGAGGCGGCAGTCCATCCTAGTGCAGCCCCGCCTTGCGCCCGTCCCACTGCGAATGCACAGGTAACGACTCACCTGACTGTGACCCGCCCACTCCACCTCTGTCTCCTCCCACATCCACTGTATGTACACTGGACTCGCCCACACACACACACACACACACACACACACACACACACACACACACACTGCACCTCGCCTGCACAAAGTCATATGCACCCGTACTTCCCAGCCAGAGTCAATTAAACTAGAATAAATGTTGGCTTGTTCAAATCTGAGGGGAAAAACAACCTTAGTTGATGTAAGCCTTATAGTTTGAGAAGTTCGTAAAGAGATTTGAAGGTTCAGACAGACAGATGTACAGATAAATGGATGTACAGACAGTCAGACAGACTGATAGATAGATAGATAGATGGATGGATGGATGGATGGATGGATGGATGGGCAGAGGGCAGGCAGACGGACGGACAGAGATAGCTGGATAGATAGACAGACAGACAGACAGAGATAGATAGATAGATAGATAGATAGATAGATAGACAGAGAGAGAGACAGAGATAGATAGATAGATAGAT